AAATGTTCAAAAGCAAAGATGTTAGTTTGAGGACTAAGGTGCACCTGAGCCAAACCATTGTATTTTCAGTAGCCTCATATACATGTGAAAGTTAGACAATGAATAAGGAAGACCATGGAAGAAATGATGCATTTAAATTATGGTGTTGTTGTTGTTGTTAAGTGCCGTCGAGTCGGTTCCGACCCATATCGACACTATACAGGGTTTCCAAGGGTGTAAATCTTTACGGGAGTAGAAAGCCTCATCTTTCTCCCGTGGAGCAGCTGGTAGTTTCGAACCGCTGACCTTAAGGTTCGCAGCCCGATTCGTAGCCACTACGCTACCAGAGCTCCTAAATTATGGTGTAGGAGGAGAAAATTTAAAATACCATAGATTGCCAAAGAACAAACAAATCTGTGTTAGAAGTACAGCCAGAATGTTCCTTAAAAGCCAGGATGGCCAGATTTCATCTCTCATGCTTTGGACATGTTATCAGCAGGGACCAGTCCCTGGAGAAGGACATCATGCTTGGTAAAGTGGAGGGCCAGATAAAACGAGGAAGAGCCACAAGATGGATTGGTTAGAGGGTCAGTGAAAAAGGAGAAATCCCAAGGAGAGATGGATTGACACTGGCTACAACAATGGTGCAAGCACAGCAGCGATTTTGAGTTGGGGTGCAGGACTGAGCATTATTTCGTTCTGTTGTGTTTTGGGTCACTGTCAGTTAGAACTAACTTGTTGGCCCTTGGTGTGACACTGTAGGATAAACACTGGACGGCTAACATCAAAGTTAGTGGTTTAAACCTATCAGCCACTCTTTGGAAACCCTATATAGTATTGATATGAGTCAAAACTGACCTGACGGCACTTAAAAATAGCAACAATCCCACTTTTTTTCTTTCTGAATGATTTTAAAAGAAATCTTAGACATATTTTACTCTTCATATTTCAGTATGTATTTTAACAAATAAGGACTCTTTTTTTCTTTAAAATAAGAAAATACCATAGTCACACCTAGAAACAATTCCTTAATATATAGTGCAAGTCCATGTTCATTTTCTCCCATTTATCTGTAAACATGTTTTTACATTGATTTATTTAAGTCAGGATCCAAATAATCCACACATTGCATTTTGTTGATTTGTCTCTTAAGTAAATAGGTTATTGTTACTCCCTATTTGAAAATTCTGCCTTCAGGTCTTTTCAATTACATTATCATTATCATGATGCAATTTCACTTGTTAAGGCTTTTTTTTTCCTTGCAAAGATACCTTATAGGTGAGGTTGTATGCTACCTTTAAATCAATATCAAATTCCTAGTGAAATTTTCATTAGGCAATTTCATATAAAAAATCATCACTTTTCAGTTTCTAGTGAAATGATCAGTCTAGGCAACCAAAATTGTAAGGTGGAGGGTCAGAGAAAAAGAGTAAGACCCCAAACGAGATGGATTGGCCAAGTGGCAGCATCGAAGAACTCAAGCGTGACAACAATATTGAGGTTGACCCAGGATCGGGCAGTGTTTTGTTCTGCTGTGCATAAGATCGTTAATGGGTCGGTACCGACTCGATGGCACCTAACAACAACAATCCTTGGACCAACCACCATAGATTTGTAATCTGGTGGGAATTTTTCATAGAGAAGGTCAAAAATTAAGATTTTAATTTTCCATGTTGTCTTTCAGTGCTTACTGAGCCTTAGACTTGTTCAATGTTGTCTAGTTAGTTCCGACCCATAAATTGCCTCTGTGTAGAGACACTGGTGGGTTTGAACCATCGACCTTTCGAGCCTTAGACTAGGAGGGGAGTATGTATGTGTTTTGGAAGTATGGACATTGAAATATCAGGTTAACCCTAATTTTGATCTCAGACACAGGACAATGCGGACCAACTTCCTTTGAGACTAGAAAGCATAGGTTCTTGGTTAATGTATTCTAGCTACTGCATTTCTGATACTGTGCTGACTCTTAGTTCTCAGCCAGAGGCAGAGGAGGCTGGCAGCTTGGGTACGTAGGTAGGAGCTCTGGGAGTTGAATAGAGCTTAGTCTTTAGCCATTGGCTTTCTCTGAGGGAAAATTAATTGGTATTAGCCCCTCAGACCTGTTTTTCATTCTCTTTTTCCTTTTTAATAGACTGAAGATGAAAGGTTGGCCTGATGTTGAGGCTGAAGTAGCAAAGATCAGTGGCAGCATTGAACCAAAGAAATTTTGGCATTTGCCTTACTTACATTGACCTTGCTATTTCTCAGTAAAATGCTTCTCTCATCTGAGCACCGTTTTTCTAGGCACAGAGTGGTCGATTTTAAACAGTGTCATTGTACTCTTGGGTGCTGTAGGAGTTCCTGAGTAGGATGAGGGATAGAAGCATGACTAGCAGTAGTTCTGGGTAACTTCCTGACAGGTGAGATTTGGACAGTCTTGAAAAATGGACTAGATTTCTGTGGTTGGTGGTGGTGGTGTGTCCTGGAGTCGGTTCCGACCCATAGCAACCCTGTACAGGGTTTCCGAGGGTGTAAATCTTTACGGGAGCAGAAAGCCTCATCTTTCTCCCGCGGAGCAGCTGGTAGTTTCGAACCGCTGACCTTGAGGTTTGCAGCCCGATTTGTAACCACTACACTACCAGAGCTCTGGTAGCGTAGTGGTTACGAATCGGGCTGTGAACCTCAAGGTCAGCGGTTCGAAACTACCAGCTGCTCCGCGGGAGAAAGATGAGGCTTTCTGCTCCCGTAAAGATTTACACCCTCGGAAACCCTGTACAGGGTTGCTATGGGTCGGAACCGACTCGATGGCACTTAACAACAACAACACACTACCAGAGCTAGTGGAGTGATTATGAGTTGGGCTGCTAACCACAAGGTCAACAGTTCAAAACTGCTTGCTGTTCCTCAGGAGGAAGATGAAGCTTTCTACTCTCTCCCATAAAGATTGACAACCTTGGAAACCCTAGGCAGACCACTGTGAATCAGAATCAACTAACTCCATGGCACACCACCACCACCAGATTTCTATAGGACCAGCATTTTCCAAAGCATGCTTCATGGACTAAAGAGGTGGTGTGATCAAATGGGTTTAGGAAATAATTATATCCTCCTCTTCAGAAAATAAGGAGCTCTGGTAGGGTAGTGGTTACGAATCAGACTATGAACCGCAAGGTCAACAGTTCGAAACTACCAGCTGTTCTGCAGGAGAAAGATGAGGCTTTCTGCTCCTGTAAAGATTTACAGCCTCAGAAACCCTGTACAGGTTCGCTATGGGTTGGAACCGACTCCACGGCACATAACAACAACTTCAGAAAATGCTCTATTTGGTTTGTCCTAGCATTTCTCAAACTTTTAACCTGAGACCTCACTATATATATATATATATATATATATAAATGTTTTATTGTGAATTATGTGGTGGTTTACGTGGGAGAACATTAGTTTTACATTCATCCTATCCTATATCGTTTCATTGCCATGATTACAATCCCCTCCGTGAATCAACCAACCAGAGGTTATACCCTGCAAGCCTGCCCCCTGGTCATCAGCACACAGCCCCTCTCCCTGTCTGGGTCTAAAGTCTCCAGCTGCTCCATCTTTCCACATCATCATCTCTGCCTCCATCTCTGGAGTCACTACTTCTCTGGGTAGGGTCCCGCTCTCCACTCTTCTCCCTTGATGGTCCCAGGGACCTCCGCTCCTAGACTGCAAAGTTAATCACTCCTCTCCTTGCTATGAAACGTTTACCTTTACATTTTCAACCCTCATAATCAGTCCTGATAACAATTGTTCACTATTGTCTCGCTTTATATTTTGATGTAATGGAATGCACTTAGGTAAATACTGCTGTACTTTGAGGGAAGGAGTCAAAGTATTCCAGATTGTGGGTGTGTAGGGAAGATGGCTTGTTTGGAGATTAGCATTTCCTCAACACTTTAAAATTAGCTACCTAAAATGCCTCTGTGGAGAATTCAGCTTAGAAGTCTTCCTAGTCGTGTGGAATATAGAGGAGGGACACATGTTTTATCTTGGATGCCTCTTGTGCTTTGCAGGTTACTCTGACTCTGGAACATTCTAAGGCCTACCTTGTCCTTTAGAAAGTTGAATAAACCTGGCTATTCAGAGAACCAGGAGGCCCCTTAATCAGTTTCTCCAGCCATAGCTATTTAGACTATGACTGGGCATACTGATTCAAGTCAGCTTTTCTTGATGACTTTGTACTTGAAGCGAAGAGACCCACTTCTGAAAATGAAACTTTAGTTGGAACAACAGGAGCCAGCTCCCTGGGCTGTGTGAGAGCGCCCCCTGCTGACCTCCTCTTTTGTTGCTTTCTTGGCACTTTACTAACCCAGAGCAGCTGCTAACCCGGAGACTGTAGACACCTCAGCCTTCAGTCTACCCAGTGTATATCAGAGCCTTGTTCTCTCCTGTTCTGTTAGTTCTTAGACCTGTTTTTCCCTTTCCATAGACCTTTCTCACTCTTATTACTTTAGCATTCGTTTTCCAGGCTTCCTGACCTTTTACAGTTGAGCCATTCCAGAATGTTTAACCTAACTCCCCATTCATCTGTGCTTTCTCTTATCTCTTCTTGGTCCCTGTGCCACAGAGTATTCACAAGTAGGATAGCATAGTTCCAGAAGGACCTCATGCTTCAAGTCCTCACTTCTCACCCACCACACAGTTCCATCTGAATAAATGGGATCTTGGCATCTTCTCCCCACACATCCTGGCTCTGGTCTGGTTCTCTTCACAGACCCAGCATAGACTAAGCCCTGGAGATAGGGGGAAGTAATATGTAATGCAAGAAGCTCTGGTAGCGTAGTGGCTACAAATCGGGCTGCAAACCGCAAGGTCAGCAGTAAGAAACTACCAGCTGTTCTGCGCGAGAAACACGAGGCTTTCTGCTCCCATAAAAGATTTACTGCCTCGGAAACCCTGGACAGGGTCAGTCACTATGAGTCCACGGCACATAACAACAATATGTAATGCAGTAGCAAAGAGGGAGGGATCACTAATTGTGTTAACTCTTGCTCTTTTTCTAGCCGTGGCACTGAAGAAGGACAACAAATCGTGAAGCAGCCATTACCAGAGAGATTGGACTTTGTGAGCAGTTTTCTGCAGAGTAAGTAATTTTCTTAGCTTGCTGGGAAGGGGCCGCTTCCTCAGTTCCTGGGATTTGGAGTCCAGAGAAACGAGTTCATAGGTGTCTGGAGGATAAAAGTTTGCCTTATTAGCTTCCTTGTGTTGGGTAATTCCTGTACCAGTTAGGCATAAGTAGAGCCGTTCGTTCCTTCAGACCTAAAGTTCATCTCAGAGACCCAGGTAGAGCCTTACAGTCTGATTTGAGACTTATCACCTTACATTCATTCCCCTGACTGTGAGGAGCGGAGGATCTTTTCCCCTGTTTTTAAGATAAATGTAAATTGGTTGTTTAGGCAATAGATGTTGGGGGCAGAAACAGATTTAGGTTCAGATCTTAACCCTTCTTTTCACTGCTTTGTGACCTTTCTGGGCATAGGTTCCCTGTCTGTAAAATGGAGATAATAATACTTGTTCTTAAGTTTGTTGGGTAGATTATAGAAACCTTCTAGCAATGCTGTAAGTTCCCTTCTCCTTATACAACCATGGACCACATGGTAATCTATCAGCCATTTCTACCTCAAGATATTTCTAGAAAAGGTGATACACATATTTAGATAAAATAAGGTGTTAGCAATTGGTCCCAGACCCTGGGGCAGTGTAAGAGCCGGGTATGACCCAGGTTTCCTAGTCTGACTCAGCTGCAGACTTTTCTTGGATAGGACTCTAGGGTAACCTGGGATCTCTTGGGTTCCTTCTCTGTGGTACTCAGTGGAGCTGATAGATGCATACAATGCCACTACCCATGGTTCCTGTGAATTCCCTCCCTGCCTTCTTGAAATATCTCTCTAACCCTTGTTGTTGTGTGTTAAGTACCGTCAAGTCAATCCCGACCCATAGCGACCCTGTGTATGGTATCTGAGGAGCAGCTGGTGAGCTTGAACCGCCCACCTTGCAGTTCAAATGGCTTTGCAGTCTGGCGCATTAACCCACAGCACCACACCAGGACTCCCTCTAACCCTTAGTCTGGTCCAAAATAGACTTCACGTGGAAAAGTGTATGTTGGGGGGAGACAGGACGTTGGAATATGAAGGCCTGCATCTCATCACCCTATGAGAGGCATTGATTCTGGTCCTCTGACTTTCCTATACTTTTCCTGGGGATGCTTACCTTCTTTTCTACATTGTCATTGCAGAAAGTCGAAAACATCCCTCTTCCCCAGAATGCCTGGTATCTGTGCAAAAATTGATGGAGGGATCAGAGCTGGAAATGGCCAAGGTACCTGTGGAATATTTGACTGATGGAGTGGAGGGTGGTATTGAGGGATCTATAGGTCCTTCTCTTAACCAAAAGGAGATTGTGGGTGCTTGGTTTCTGCAACTCTTGGAGGTAGGGACCAGATCTCTATCTATCTAAGGCAGAGGTTTAATTCAGTTCAAGAACCTAGTAGCCATGGATTTGAGAAACAGGTATACTAGACCATTGTTGTTGGTCTCAATGAAGACCTAGTAGCAATCAGGCCCACATCTGGCTTCTATCTTTTTAAAAACTTTTTTAAAAAACTCAGTCTGTTTCATTCCTTCTGTATTTTCCAGGTGCTAGCCTGCAACAGACAGATACCTTGGGCTTCATACCCAGGGTTCCTTAATTGTAGGAATTCAGCCATGCAGGAATCCTATTACCTGACTTTGTGCACTGAGGGTATTGGGTTTTCAGTAAAGTGTTCTGATGCTTTTACAGGCAGTGGCCTGGATTGCTTTCTTGCAGGAACTTGGGAGTCATCTCCATATTAGTGCAGAGTCCCCAGAACAGCTCAGAGGGGAAGCATCAAGCAGAGTCTGCTTAGTGACTACCTTCTGTTTTGACTTCTAGCTAACCATGCTGCTCTTGTACCACTTTACCATGAGCTCCAAAAGCCTCAGGGACTGGGACCAATTTGAATACAAGATTCAGGTAAGCCATTGTACCTACATCCCACTTAGCATGCCATTTGTATGCTTTAAATAGCATATCTTGTTTAAAGTTGTGATTATGGTAATTAACAACCATTTATTGTAGAAAACCCAGAAAATATTGACAAGCACAAAGAAGCAGTTGCCAGTCATCTCATACCCAGAGATACTAATTTTTTTAAGGCCATGTGCCTGAGTCCTTTGAACATGGCATTTAACTATATAACCCTCGTGTGTTTGGATAATACACAGAAATTGTTTCTGTTCTCTTTTCATCTATGTGTTCTGATGTTTGTGTATATATATATATATATATATATATATATACATACACACAAGGGGGCTTCAAAAAGTTTGTGGAAAAATGGAATTAAAAGATAATGGATTTTTTTCCATGAATTTTTTGAATTCCCCTCAGACACACTCATGTGTTATATGTATGTTATACACCAAACGGTTACGTCCATTGATCTCATCCTTTTCTGTAGAGGCAGGGATAATGAGAGGTCATGTCTTTCTTTGTCTGCTATGACAGTGGAGTTTTGAGTGGTTACCTCCCAGCGGCTCTTCTGTGTGGTCCGTAAATGACAAGAACTTGGTACACCAGCTTCATTCTAGAGGGAATTGACACCGTTTCAGGAACCACCTGCCTTGAGGGTCATGATGTTAACTTTGTTTCCTGAGTCAACAGTTGTCCTTTATTTTCCAGAGTAGCAAAAGGTGGGGTCCAGAGCAGGTAACCTAGGTGATTGATTGGGGTAGTATACAGAGTGTGGTCTTTCATATACTGGTAAAAATCTTGAGTCACCTCTTGGGTACTATCTGTTTCTCATACATTTATCTCATAGTTTATGTCTTGAATTGCAGTTGGGATTTAGTGGCATGAAGTGGGGTGGATAGTTCCTTCCTTCCTTTGACCTTTTCTCTGCTCCAGGTTGGTAGAAACAAAAATTCTAAGAGAATAAGGAACAACAGCAGAGTTGGCAAAGAAATGACATCAACTTTATAGATTTGAAATTAAGACAGAAAAGAGAAGATTTTACAGTTTATTGGTGGATAAGCTTTGGATGAGCGAGCCCTAGAGGTGTTTTCACTTAGACAAACAACTAAGGAAGTCTAGAAGAGGAAAATGTAGCATTCTATCTTTCTCTTTGTTTGCATCCGTTGTAGCAAGGAATGAAGTCCGTTAGACACTCTGTTTGACTCTGAGTGCTGAGGGGGAAAGAGGCACGTGGGATGAAATATTTCTAGTTGAATGTTCATGGTTGGGCCATGGTTTCAGGATGAGAGCAAGAATGGGATCCAGCAGATTCCTGGGGCTCAAGAAAAAAAGCTAGACATGGAAATGCTAGGCTGGAGCTGCCCATCCCTTTAGGGACCCCTGTTTCCCTAACTGATGCTCTTTTTCTCTGTCTGGCTCAGGCTGAGTTAGCCGTCATCCTCAAATTTGTGTTGGATCATGAGGATGGACTAAACCTTAATGAGGACCTAGAGAGCTTCTTGCAAAAAGGTGAGTAGAGACGCTCCCTTGAGGACTCCCTCCCCTCTGAGCTGAGATGTGCAGTAGGGGGTTATTTATAATTGCAACATAAGGTATAGAGCAGGTGTTCAGGAAATGTATATATAGTGGGGTAGGTAGATTTCTATTGCAGTCCTCCTAAGGAGGTCCTGCTAGCTGCTTGGCAGCAGTTGGCAGGTTGTTTATTACTGATTGTGTCCATGGTTAAGTTGTACTTGAGTCCTTCCTTTCCCCATTTTATTCATTTATTTTAGACAAACACTATTCTAGGCTTAGAAACTAGGAGTGCACAGTCTATAAAAGTGTTTTTTTCTCTCATAAAGTTTATGTTCTAGGTGAGAGGGCAAATATATGAACTAGTAAGTGTGTCTAGAGCAGAGATGGGGTTGACTGTTTCAAATGCCTTGGCTGGAAGTATGATGGAATGACATGTCTATTGGTCATCTAATGAAGTTATCATTGAGTGATGACACGAATCTAAAAAATAGGTATAGGCTAGTTCTCTTGTAGCCATTGTATTTGTTCCTTAGAGTCATGTTCTTGTGAAACTGTCAGGTAGGGATGCTGGGGTGCTGGAAAGGGTTCTAGGCCAAAATTGGAATTTGAAAACCAATGAATGGCCACTAAAGCCTTAGTCATTTTGAACAGAGATAAGGAAGCACCATTAGAACTGTGGGTGGCACTGAAAATTTTAGAGTAGGCAAAGGAGGGATGAGCAAATAAGGGAGACAAAGAATGGGTGGTCAGAGAGGTAAGAGAGCCATATGAAAGTGGTCATGGATGTCAAGGAAAGAGATGGATTTGAGAAAGAGCATGTTGGTGGTTTGAGATTTCAGGATGGAAGAATTCAGAAAGTTGGCCAATGACTCTGACTCAAGGGACCATTGGGGATTGAGGTGGTCCAGGCTCAGGGCCCCCAGGTTGCTTCTGTCATGTTGACTCGAGCAAAAGATGAGCTCTGGGCATTGGAGAAGCCCTCCCTTGCCAGTACTCACACAGATGATTGTTTGTAGAGACAGAGCCCATGAAGTTTGCTTAGGACATTGCCCCTGGGTAACTAAACAATGAGCTTTAGGTGCCAGCCTAAAGTTTACATGTAAGTAAGTGTTCGTGGATTCACTTACATTAAGATGAGTTCTCAAACTGCATAAAGATGAAAATCTCTTCACTGTCTTAGAAACCGCTCTGTGGTTGGTTTATCTATTTCTCCCCTTCAGCTCCTGTCCCTTCCACCCGTTCCAGCACCGTGTCTGAAGACGTCTCCCCACCCAGCCACCAGACCAAGAAGGAGATTCGCTTCCTAGAACTACAGAATGTTGCCTCCTCTTCCAGTGGGAACAAGTATGTTGGCTCTTCTCCTGGAACAGGGCTTCAGTGTCCAGTCTTCATATCCCCATAGTCTAGAGGCTAAGCTGCTGACCAGCTGCTTACATCAGCTGGGAATGCTTTGAGTATCCTTAGATCTTATACATTTTCCCCTCACCTAGTACTAATGGGGAAATTGGTTAGAATCTGTTTGGGGCAAAAGGTCACCAGCAAAAGCAATTGCTGTTTATAGACTGCCTTTCTTCCTTCAAGATGATACTGAGGACACTTTTCTCAGTGCAGCTCTGCAGAGGCAAGGCGAATTCATCACCTTATTTGGTTTTTTTTTTTTTGAATAAAGAAGACTTGGAGAAGGAAAAGATACGTTGCTTCCAGGTCATGTCATGAGGCGAAAGTCCAATCAATGCTACAACCATAGACAACGCCTCCCGCAGCTGTTGCTGGTTGCTTCAGCCCTCAGATCTCAAGTTCTGACCATGACTTCTGGGTCATCTCCTTCCTCAGCTTCCTTGTAGGATCTCCAGCCTCCCCCATGGGCGACATCCTGCATACGCCACAGTTCCAGGTGAGACGGCTGAAGAAGCAGCTTGCAGATGAGAGAAGCAATAGGGATGACCTGGAGCTGGAGTTGGCCGACAACCGCAAGCTCCTCACTGAGAAGGGTAGGTCCCTCACACACTGGGTGATGTATGTGCATGGGCAGCATTTGGGATTTTCATCCAATAAAGTGCTGAACTTGCCTGGAAAATGTCCCTTTAGTCTTCCGTGTTGTCCTCTCTGCTGAAGCTCAGTCCTATACCTAGGGTCAGACTGACCTGGAAGCTGGGATTTGTCCTTGCCACCATCCTCTCTACCTTTTATATTGGATACCCTACTCCTCTGTTCTCCACCTCCTTCTCTTAGCTCTGTGTTCATTCTCCTATCCCCTCCAACCCTGAGCAGATGCACAGATAGCCCTGATGCAGCAACGCATTGACCGCCTGGCTCTGCTCAATGAGAAGCAGGCAGCCAGCCCACCAGAGCCCAGGGAGCTTGAGGAGCTACGTGGCAAGAATGAGAGGTATAACCTTCCCTACTTGCCTTCAGCTGCAACCCTTCCCTGCACCCAGTGTTGGGCCACACACTTCTCACTGCTTTCCTCCTTCACAGCCTCACTATGCGGTTGCATGAGACTCTGAAGCAGTGTCAGGACCTGAAGACAGAGAAGAGTCAGATGGATCGCAAGATCAACCAGCTTTCTGAGGAAAATGGAGATCTTTCCTTTAAGGTAAGTGAGTAGAAGAGGTCTTGTCCACACATGGAGGCCCCTGAGGACTGAGGTTGGTCTGGAAGGCTCTCTAAGAGAGGGTGGAGAAAAGATCTCTCCACAGAGCCTGCATTCTTTACTCCTTTCCATTCGCATAATTGGGTATTTTAAATGCCTTGGTAGGATACTGGATTGTGGCTCTACGCTTTGGTGTATACTTCTGGGTTTGGGGATTACCACTTGTCTGTTGCAGGTGCGGGAGTTCGCCAGTCACTTGCAGCAACTACAGGGCGCTCTCAATGAGCTGACCGAGGAGCATGGCAAGGCCACCCGGGAGTGGGCGGAGAAGCAGGCCCATCTGGAGAAGGAGCTCAGCACAACCGGGCAAGACAAGGTAATGCTCTGGTTTGGGGAGTCAGGGCCACAGTCTTGACATATTCAAAACTAAATTGAGTTTAGCCATTTTCTCCTTTTGTATCTTTAGAAACAAAGGTAACTTGTCTTCAAGGTTTAGTGTAATGGAAAACTTGTGGGTTTAAATCTAATACACCTAAGTGAATCCTGTCTTGCTATTTAGAGTGTAATAATTCAATCTCTCCAGGCAGACTTTCCCTTAATTGGGAGTAATAATAGTAGTTGCTTGGTTTTTTGTTTTTTTTTTAAGTGAACATTTTGTTGTAGTAAAGTGAAAGTTTATAGAGGAGATTCCCAGTTCACAATTTATGCATCATTTGTTTCATGACATTAGTTACAGTCCCCTCAGTGTAACTAACAGCTCTCTTTCTACTTCTTCCCTGGGTTCTGCCTCCTGGCTGTTTTCTGAATTTGCTTTTGGGTAAATGTTGGTCTTTGGTTTGAATGTTTCTCTGTGGAGCATGGTCCTCACTGGTGTTATTATTTTATAAGCCTATTATTTGGCTGAAAAGTAATCTCTAGGAGTGGATTCAATTCCAGGTTTAAGGGTAACTGCTTCATCAATTATTATAATATATATAAAACATTTCACATATAATATATGGTATAAAGTAGCACTCAATGAATTAGCACTACTTTATTTTTACTTTTTATTAAGAACCCAACTCTAGTGCTTATTAATAATGTAGCTCTTGGACTAAGCATCTGCTATCTGTGCTTTAATGTGTTGCATCGTATAGGAGGGATAGTGATAGGTACCTCTCAGATTTTCTATATAGATTCTAAGTTCAGAGACGCATGGAGGGTAGTACCTGGCTGCTGTAGGTGCTTAGTGAACAATGGTGGGTATAGTAGGTGTGGGACTGAGGCTGAGCGGATACTCTTGCTTCTGCTGTTGGCCTTGATGCTCAGACAGTCGGAATATTTCTGGTGATTTGGATAATCTGCGAGCCAAGACTTGTCTGAGGAGGGCTATACAGTAAGGAAATTTGAAGTAGACTTAGTAACCTTGGAGAGGTAAGCAGTTCACAAGCCAAGACAAAAGGATGTCTGGGCCACAAGGTAATAGAGTCACCTGCTGATGTCGTGGTGGCCTGTGTGGTCATCTGGTGATTACTCCACCTCTGTTCATGTGGGCATCTTGTTTACTCTTAGAAATACCTTGAAGAGAAGAATGAAATCCTTCTGGGAAAACTCTCACAGCTAGAAGAACGTTCAACCCAGCTGCAGGAAAACCCTTCCCAGGAGAAGGGCGAGGTGCTGGGGGACGCCTTGCAGGTAGGAATAATTGGGAACAACCCATGTGCTCAGCACATTCAGACCCTTGACAATCCTGTTCTTTGAGGGTTCTGGTGACTGAGGAGTCATCATACTCATTCCACTTGTTTCTTTATCATCCCACCAGCTGGAAGCCCTGAAGCAAGAGGCAGCCACTCTTGGTGCAAACTGTGCCCAGCTCCAAGCCAAGGTGAAGGAGCTGGAGACTGAGCAGGGTCAGCAGGAAGCCCAACTGCTTGCTGAGCGGGGCCGCTTTGAAGAAGAAAAGCAGCAGCTGGCCGGCTTGATTGCTGGCCTGCAGAGCTCTGTCTCCAACCTCATTCAGGCTAAGGAAGACCTAGAGAAGGCCTCACAGGCTCAGAATGCCCAGTTGACTGCCCAGGTGGCCACTCTGACCTCCAAGCTCACCACGCTCAATGTCACCCTCCAGCAGCAGGATCAAGAACTAACTGGCCTGAAGCAACAGCTGAAAAAGGAGCAGGCCCAGCTAGCCCAGACTCTCCAACAGCAAGAACAGACCTCCCAGGGCCTCCGCCACCAGGTGGACCAGTTGAGCAGCAGCCTGAATCAGAAGGAGCAACAATTGGAGGAGGCAGCCAAGGAGCAGAAGGCAGCTAGGCGGGACCATGCCCAACAACTGGCCACTGCCACCAAGGAGAAGGAGGTCGCCTTAAGAGAGAAGGACACAACTCTCCAGCAGCTGGAGGCACTGGAGAAGGAGAAGGCTGCCAAGCTGGAGATTCTGCAACAGCAACTTCAGGCTGCCAATGAAGCCAGGGACAGTGCTCAGACCTCAGTGACACAGGCCCAGCAGGAAAAGGCAGAGTTGAGCAAAAAGATTGAAGAACTCCATGCTCGCGTCGAGGCAGCCCACCAGGAGCAGCGTGGGACCCAGGCCCAGGTGGCAGAGCTGGAGGCCCAGTTAAAGTCAGAGCAGCAAAAAGCAACTGAGAGACAAGGGGTGGCCCAGGAGAACAAGCAACTCCAAGAGAAGCTTCAGGCCCTTGAGGAGTCTTTGAAGGCCACCAAGCACAGCCTTGAGGAGGAGAGGCGCCAGGCTACAGACGCCCGGGAAGAGCAACAACGTCGTGTCTCGGAACTTCAGGTAGAGACCCAGAGCCTGGTGGAGCAGCATAAACAGGAGCAGAAGGAACTAGAAGAAGAGAAGACTGAGCGCAAGAGTTTGGAGACCCAATTACAACAGCTTGGAAAGGCCCATCAGGCTGAGATGGAAGCCCTGAGGCGGGAGCTGGCTGAGGCCATAGCCTCCCAGCAAAGGGGTGAGAGTGAGTATGAGCAACTTATCAAGGAGGTAGCTACCTGGCGTGAGCGGTATGAGGAGAGTCAGCAAGAGGAGGCGCAGTATGGTGCCATGTTCCAGGAACAGCTGGAGGCCCTAAAGGAGGAATGTGAAAAGGCTCGCCAGGAGCTACAGGCGGCAAAGGAAAAGGTGTCAGCCATAGAAGCCCACAGTGAGCTCCAGATGACCCAGCAGCAGAATGAGCTAGCTCAGCTCCGTGCCAACCTGGCTAGAGCCCACCAGCAGGTCCAGGAGAAGGAGGTCAGGGCCCAGAAGCTTACCGATGACCTCTCCACTCTGCAGGAGAAGATGGCAGCCACCAGCAAGGAGGTGGCCCGCCTAGAAACCTTGGTGCGCAAGGCAGGAGAACAGCAGGAGACAGACTCACATGAGCTACTCAAGGAGCACCCCAGGTCAGGAGATAGAGAAGCAGAGTGGCTGGAGGAGCAGCGAGGGCCCGAGTTCTGCAGCACCCAGGCCACACTGCAGGCCATGGAGCGCGAGGCTGAGCGGATGGGCAGTGAGCTAGAGAAGCTGCGGACTGCACTGATGGAGAGCCAGGGCCAGCAGCAGGAGGAGCGTGGGCAGCAGGAGAGAGAGGTGGCACGACTGACCCAGGAGCGGGGCCGGGCCCAAGCTGACCTGGCCCTAGAGAAGGCAGCCAAGGCAGAGCTGGAGATGCGGCTTCAGAATGCCCTCAATGAGCAGCGTGTGGAGTTTGCTGCTCTGCAAGAGGCACTGGCCCAGGCCCTGAGGGAGAAGGAAAGGAAGGATCAGGATCTGGCCAAGCTTCGTAGTCAGGAGGCAGCCCAGCAAACAGAGCTGGGGGAGCTTCAGCAAACCCTGAAACAACTGAAGGAACAGCTGGCTAAGAAAGAGACAGAATGCCAACAGCCTGTAGAGGTGGCCAGTAGAGAAGATGCTTCTGGGTCAGAGGCCCTGTCTGGTGTTGTTGGCAAGACAGAGCCATTTGGCTCGGAGCTGGAGGCCCTGCGGGCGGAGGTGAGCAATCTGGAACAGCAGTGCCAGAGGCATCAGGAGAAGGCCTCCACCCTGGAACGCAGCCTAGAGGCTGAGCAGGCCTCTCACAGAGAGTGGGACAGTGCTCTGGAGACTTTGAGGGGCCAGTTAGAGGAGAAGACCGGGGAGCTGGAACGCAGCCAGGATGCCTTAGCCTCAGCTCAGAGGGAATTGGCTACTCACTGCGCCAAGGCCCAAGACCTCAGCAAAGCTGAGGATGAGTGGAAGGCCCAGGTGGCCCGGGCCCAGCAGGAGGCTGAGAGAAAAAACAGCCTCATCAGTAGTTTGGAGGAGGAGGTGTCCATCCTGAATCGCCAGGTCCTGGAAAAGGAGGGTGAGAGCAAGGAGTTAAAGCGACTGGTGGTAGCCGAGTCGGAGAAGAGCCAGAAGCTGGAAGAGAGGCTGCGTCTGCTCCAGGTAGAGACTGCCAGCAGCAGTGCTAGAGCAGCAGAGCGCAGCTCTGCTCTGCGGGAGGAGGTGCGGACCCTCCGGGAAGAGGCAGAGAAACAGCGGGAGGCTTCAGAACATCTGAGGCAGGAGCTGACCTCGCAGGCAGAGCGTGCAGAGGAGCTGGGCCAAGAATTGAAGACGTGGCAGGAGAAGTTCTTCCAGAAGGAGCAGGCCCTCTCTGCACTGCAGCTCGAGCACACCAGCACACAGGCCCTGGTAAATGAGTTGCTGCCTGTCAAACACCTGTGCCAGCAGCTGCAGGCCGAGCAGGCTACTGCTGAGAAACACCATCGCGAGGAGCTGGAACAGAGTAAGCAGGCAGCTGGTGGGCTGCGGACCGAGCTGCTGCGGGCCCAGCGGGAGCTCGGGGAGCTGGTCCCCCTGCGGCAGAAGGTGGCAGAGCAGGAACGAGCAGTCCAGCAGCTTCGAGCAGAGAAGGCCAGCTATGCTGAGCAACTGAGCATGCTCAAAAAGGCCCATGGCCTGCTAGCAGAAGAGAACCGGGGCCTGGGGGAGCGGGCCAATCTCGACCAGCAGTTTCTGGAAGTGGAGCTAGATCAGGCTCGGAAGAAGCATGTCCAAGAGATGGCTGCTGTGCGTGCTGATGTAGAGACCCGCCTAACTGAGGTTCGGCAGGAGGCAAAGAATGCTGCCCAGGAGCTGGAGGTGATGACTGCCAAGTATGAGGGTGCCAAGGTCAAGGTTCTGGAGGAGAGGCAGCGGTTCCAGGAGGAGAGACAGAAACTCACTGCCCAGGTAAGGTCCCCAGCCCAACCCCAGCCCCAAAGATTGGACCAGAGAGAGGGACCAGGGCCTCCAGCTCCCATGCTATTATCTTAAGCTAATTAAAGGTGGCAGAGGAGAAGTACGGTTAAGTCTTTTGCCCCTGTTGTCTTCAAGAAAACTATCAGTCTCTTCCCCTTCCCTGAAGACTCTTGTTCCTGGAAAGTTATGTGAAGACCACCGACCCTTTCCAGAGGTACTTTGTGTGGAAGTGCGCCTGTACTGGAGGCCCCAGGGACCACTGGGGACTCAAATGAGCCAAACTGGTATTCTTTATATGACTAAATGTCTAGTGCCTTGGCAGCCAGATAGCCCTCTTTGGCCTCATCTTATGCTGTCTCCATTGCCTCTCCCCCGTGCACAGGTGGAGCAGCTAGAACTATTTCAGAAAGAGCAAACTAAGCAGGTAATACCTGGGGTTCTTGCTGAATGCTGGCTGCTTAAGCGGTGACCGTTCTCAGTGCATGGCCTCTGCTCAGCTTGCCTCTGCCAGCTCCCATTGTGAACTGTTTGTGAAGGGGGCAGGGTCAAGCCATGGAATCCAGGCCCAAACTGCCCAGTGTGGTGTCCTGGACCCTCTTAGGGTTCATCCCACCCATTCCAGGTTGGCCTCTTCATCCTTCTGCATTTTATCTCCTCTGCCTGTCAGGGAGGAGGGATATGATGGGCTTCATTTCTGAATCAGAGACAGAATTAATCTTTTGGGCCCTAGACTCTCCAAGTCATGTTCCAAGCTAAGAAGACTCAACGAAGAGAAATAGAATTACTTACGGGCGTTGTTTACACAGCCCCCTTCTGTGTAAACAGAGTATGGATTTGTTGAAGCCATAAGGGAAATATGCAATGCATCCTTCAGAGATTGGAAGGGCTATGAGTTCAAATATCAGCCTCCGCCGAACTGTGTCCTGAGAGCATGGTATAGAGAGATATGGGAGCAGAAGGCCAAGGTTGAGAGGAGTGGGCATGGTCTAGACCAGACATAGTATTTAGTGAGAGCACCCTGTCATTGGCCTGGCCTCACCTCTCCTCCTTTCACCTTCTCTAAGGAGCCTGAGATGATTAGGATGGGGCTCAGGGGAGGCAGTCAGAGAGTAGCAAACAGTTAGCAATGCAGTGCTTGCCTCTCCTTATACGCCTGGAGACTGGGTGCTTGGGGTGGAAGTTATGTTTTCTGCTTCTCTTTGCTCTTTTTGACAGTGGGTGGGCTTTGAGTATGTGTGTTGCCCCCACTCTTCCAGCGTTGTTCCCTAATGCTAACCACAGTAACCACACTGCTGCTAACAGCCTATGGATATTGGGAAGAGGTGTGAGTGTCTGTGGACTTATGCTTTGGCAGTTTTGGGATGAGAAAGGGAATGGATATTCATGCACATATCTGCTAGAATTACCGACTGTTAAGTGCTATGGAGTCAGTTCTGACTCAGAGTTACTGACTAGGTCTCTGTTATAACCCCAAACTGGTTAGGTTGGGCTGGGGAGCTACAAAAGTGAGGTACCAGCTCCCCCAAGTCCCTTCTGCTGATTCTGGTGGTTGCAGGGGTCAAGCAGGCCTCTTCCTCGGAAAGCTAGGTTGGACAGGTCATTATGGCAGGTGGCTGAGGAACATTTGTGTTGATCACCTTACTCAGGTTATACCAACCAGTCTAGGCAGTGGTGAGTCCGTTCCTTAAATGGAGAGTAGAGAAAGGACCTGAGTTTCCTCTTGTACGAACACTGGGGGTACTGGCCTTGGGCAACGTCACCCAGAAGGTGGCTAATGAGTCTGATTGTCTCTTTTCCCCTCAGGTGGAAGAACTGAGCAAGAAGTTAGCTGACCATGACCAAGCCAGCAAGGTGCAGAAGCTAAAGGTAGGGCCAGCGGGGGTGGGGGTGGGGGGGTTATGTCTAACCTGTTTGGCCTCAGAGGACTGTCATGGGTGAGGGAGGAGAAGGGCATGCTGAGATCTGCTTGTGCCTTCTGAGATCTCTTGAGGGACAGTGGGAGCCATTCCCATCTCTAGACCTCTGCTGTCCAGTACAGTAGCCACTAGTGCTCTTGAAATTTCAATTAATTTAAACAATATAAAATTAAATATTCAACCCCTCAGTCACAGGACCCACATTTCACATATAGGTGGCAATTGGCTACCATTATAGTACAATGAGTCCTAGTGTGGTGCTGCAGGAGAATGCACTGAATGGAAAGGTTGGTTTGAACTGCAAGGTCAGTGGTTCAAATCCACCAGTTGCTCTTTGGAAACCCTGTACAAATTCACTGTCTTCTCAGAAAGTTCTGCTGGACAGTGGGGGTTCTAAATAGTCTGGGCTCAGGTATTGAGTATATTGATGATTTTTAACATTAAGATGCAATTTAATACCATTCTAATATTTTCAGTTACATCATTTATTGTTCAGTGTTTGCTTTTTGCAGTTCTAGACTTCATGATCTTTAGTCAGGGACAAAGAAAATGGGCCTTGGGACTCACTGAAGCTCTCCTGGGTCTTAGGAGTTGGTGGGAGCTCAGAGCTTTGCTTCCCTGCTCACCTTCCATATGTACTACATACATCATGCTAAAGTGATCAACATCTCTCATGCCCTGCCCAGCACCTTTAACCAATCAAGCCCTGTGGGAGGCAAAGCAGGTGGGCAGACTTGGACACAGCCCCTGCTCTGGAGGAGGCTGTGTTCTGGGTTGGAGGCAGCATGGACACATAGGCTTTGGTGTTAGGTGAAGCAAGTGTAAGGCGTCTGGGTGGTACATTGGGTTAAGTGGATAACTTCAAGGTATGATTCAAACCCCTCAGCTACTCTAAGGGAGAAAAGTAAGGCTTTCTGATCCTGTAAATTCTTGGAACCCAAAGGAGCAGCTCTACTCTGTCCTCTAGGATCACTAGGAGTCAGGATTGACTTGATGTGGGGAGGGTAGAGTGTGGTGTTTCAGTGTTATTGAGAACAGCCACGGAGCCCAAGGGTCTCAGCCAAGTCAGTGGTCTTGGGTGGAGCAGCTAGACCCACCCCAATGATATGCCTTTCAATGCTCCCAGGCCCAGGAAGGTGAGAGCCAGCAGGAGGCCCAACGCCTCCAGACCCAGCTCAATGAGCTGCAGGCCCAGCTGAGCCAGAAGGAGCAGGCAGCTGAACACTACAAGCTGCAGGTGAGGACCCCCGTCTACTCTGACCCCTCTGCTCCCCTGTCCTGCCTCTGCCCCATCCCCACCAGTCCTCCCACCCTTCCTGTTGACACAGATGGAGAAAGCCAAAACCCATTATGATGCCAAGAAGCAGCAGAATCAAGAGCTGCAGGAACAGCTTCGAGGCCTGGAGCAACTGCAGAAGGAGAACAAGGAGCTGCGGACAGAAGCTGAGCGGCTGAGCCGGGAGCTGCAGCAGGCAGGACTGAAGACCAAGGAGGCTGAACAGACCTGCCGTCACCTTACTGCCCAGGTGCACAGCCTGGAGGCACAGGTAGGTGTCTGAATGGAAAGGTTCCTCACTCTGCATGTTAGAACTCTGTACCCTCAGTTGTACTATGTTTCACTTGCCTGGCCCTCTCCTCCCAGGTTGCCCACGCTGACCAGCAGCTTCGAGACTTGGGCAAGTTCCAAGTGGCAACTGATGCCTTAAAGAGCCAGGAGCCGCAGGTTAAGCCCCAGCTGGACTTGAGCGTTGACAGTTTGGACCTGAGCTGCGAGGAGGGGACCCCCCTCGCTATCGCCAGGTCAGACGATCTCTTTCCCTTTTCGTTGTCAAGGTGCCATGGAATCGTTATATGCTGTTGACTTAGTTCTGATTCATACTGACCCTGTAGAGGGTTTCCAAGGAGCAGCTGGTGGGTTTTAACCTCCAACCTTGTGATTCAAACCAGCTTTGCAGTCCAGTGTTTATCCTATAGTGCTACATTAGGACTTTGTTGATCATGTTAGGGAGAGGAATAAAACGTGGTCTGTTTGTCTTCTTAGGGGAAAAGGATAAAGAAAAACATCACATATGCGATGCCAGCCATATGTATAGGGCACAGGGCGAGGGAAAAGAAGTGTATGTGAAAAGCTCTGTGGTGGCAGAAAATACACAGATGTGTGCGCCAGGTAGACCGAGCAGTGGGAGCCAAGGACGAGAGAATGAGCTGCTTGGGCTGTGGAAAGAAGGACGGTTGAGCAGGCCCAGGTCCCAGCAAACCACTATATTTCCAGGGGCTGTGTTTTAGACATCCTAAAGACACTGAGGAACCTCTGAAGGGGTTTAAATTGAGTAATGTTCAGATTTGCATTTTAGGATTATTCTGATGACAATGTAGAGGATAAGACTAGAAACACATTGTTTTTAATAAGCAAACACTTCTCTGGCACTTGTCAGAGACAAGTATAAAGTACTTGAAACATTACAACCTAGGTGAGAGATGAGACTGAACCAGAAAGGATGGATTGGGAGTGTGGTCAGGAGAGCTATTCAGACACTTGGTAAAACTGGATTGGACAGGAGAGGGTTGTGGTAGGGCTTCTGCCCATTCATGTTCATGGCTTAGGGGGCTGGGCTGAAGACATTCCTATTCACTGAAATGTGGGGTGCAGAAGGTAGAACAGGTTTACTGTGGAGTTCGATGGGCACCTTGGGGGCACGTTGCAGGGCAGTTGAATCTATGGGTCTGGAGTTCAGACTCTGGGAGGTGTGAGGAGCACTGTGAGGATGGATGAGCTTACCAGGAAGAAGGCAAAGTGAAATGCGGGCCCAGTCCAAGGGATCTCCTTGTTGCTTTTGAAAATCAGAGTTAGAATGGAGTGCTTAGACCCTGTTGGCTTGTAATAAATGTGGGAATAGTCACTTTGGAGCAGAGAGGCAAATGCTTTCTAGCATCTCAGTGGGTTTCTTTCCACAGCAAGCTGCCTCGTACCCAGCCAGATGGCACTAGTGTCCCCGGAGAGCCTGCCTCACCCATCTCCCAGCGCCTGCCCCCCAAGGTAGAATCCCTGGAGAGTCTCTACTTCACTCCCATCTCGACTCGGAGTCAGGCTCCCCTGGAGAGCAGCCTGGACTCCCTGGGGGACATCTTCCTGGACTCAGGCCGTAAGACCCGCTCTGCTCGTCGACGTACCACACAAATCATCAACATCACCATGACCAAGGTCAGGCTACTGGGAGCAGAGCTGCAGCTGGAGGACAGTAATGTCCACTCCTCTAAAGGGCATCTTTTCAATTGGGTCCGCAAAACAGCCTGAGGAGCAAACGGAGATGCTGAGAAAGGAAGTGAGACGTTTAGGACCTCTTTTGTAGAGGTCTGGAATGGAGACTTCTATCTCCACTGCTCTTAGTGTAGCACTGATCCTGTACAGGCTGAAGGGAGAGGAGGATGGGCAAGTTGCCTGTGCCTCTGAGCACACCCTATGTAGCAGACCCATATCGTGGATGCCTGCCAGGCTCTGGACCCTTGCCTTTGTTTCTTCCCGATGCAGCAGGGAGAGCTCTGTGTGTGGCTACCCTGTGCTCACAGGGTGCTAGAGCAGTTCTAGACTGGTCTAAGGGATAGTGGAGGCTGTGGGGTGAACCTATTGCTCAGAGATGAGTTCAACCCCACCTCTGCCACTTCCTAGCTGTTTGACCGGTTCACCCCTCCCAGGCTTATTTGAAAAATGGATGGAGGAGTCCATCATCTTGGCACCTTGTGAAAGGATCTGGCAACAATATCAGTTTTTTTTACAGTAAACGTGCAAGCTATGGCCCCTTCCTTGCCAAGTAGTATTGATAGTGCATGGATCTAAGGGGCTATTGGCAAGAGCAATGAGAGATTTCTTTATAGAGGACCAGGGTCCCACCCTATTCACCACAACAGATTCTTCTTCTCTTCCAGAAGCTGGATGTAGAGGAGCCAGACAGCGCCAACTCATCCTTCCATAGCATACAATCTGCTCCTCCATCCCAGGCCAACCTGAAGACCACCTCCTCCACCCAGTCTCTACCTTGCCTGAGCTCTACCAATGATGGCAGCTCAGCTCTGCTCAGCCTGCCTGGCTACCGGCCTACCACTCGCAGTTCTGCTCGCCACTCCCAGGCCAGGGTATCCAGTGGGGCCCCTTCAGGTAAGGGAACTTTGGGAGTACAGAAAGTGGAGACTGGCAGCAGATCCAAGGCTGGCCACCTTGCTGCCTTCAAGTACTTTGTCTACCTTTTCCTCTTCACAATCTCAGGGCCTGGCCTGGCCTCTAGAGGATGTGCTGGGGCGATCGGGCTGACGTCTGTCTCAGCCAGGGTGATCTGGAGATGCACACCAGGTCTTGTCAGTTCAGAGACTACTTGGAGTCTTTTGCTCACTGAGCCCCAGGGACCCCCTCTAGCTGTCAAGTCCTGGCCCTGAGTGTTTTTCTGGGTATTGGGCACTAACTACACTTTGGCAGGTAAGTGACATGTACTCACAACCTTTGCATATGACTTCTTTTGGTCTCCCAAGGAAGGTGAGTGAGCAAGTTCCCCTGGTAGACTGTATCTGTGTGCCCCACTCATGTACCTGTTGGACTAGGCTGGGCATTCATGGGAATAGGCTGAAGAAGAAGATGTGCCAGCAAAGCCTGGTGAGACACCAGGGCCACTGCTGATTCCTCTTGACCCTCCAGTCCCCACTTGATCCAACTTTCCTGCTCCCACAGGAAGGAACAGTTTCTACATGGGCACTTGCCAGGATGAACCAGAGCAGCTTGATGACTGGAACCGCATTGCAGAGTTACAGCGGCGCAACCGAGTTTGTCCCCCACACCTGAAAACCTGCTATCCCATAGAGTCCAGGGTGAGCCCTGGGGTCACTGAGCAGGACCTGCCCCACACTGGCTCATTCCCCCAACCTCCAGTGCTACCTGCTTGGCCTAATTTTAGTACTAATGTCCCAAGTCTCTGACCATATAGATGGAACAGCCAGCAGGAAGGGAGTTTAAGATTGAAGTTGTTCTGGGAGGACACTAGCTCTGAGAGGAGTCTGCCCAAGTTGTGGTGGGGAACACAGGGGGAAGGCCGATGTTCATCTGCATAAAACCAGGGTCCAGTGATCTCTTCTCCACCCTCTACAGCCTTCCCTGGGCCTGGCCACAATCACAGATGAGGAGCTGAAGACTGGGGATCCTCGAGAGACCCTGCGTCAAGCCAGCATGCAGCCGATCCAGATTGCTGAGGCCACTGGCATCACTACCCGGCAGCAGCGCAAACGGGTTTCCTCAGAGTCCCACCAGGGCCCTGGCACCCCTGAGGTGGGCAACATTGGCTCCTCCCTGTTCTGTCCAACACTGCCCAGTAAGGCCCAGCTTAGCACGCTTGAGAAGGGCTCAAGAGAAGACTTCTCTCGCCAAGGGCCTCTGGCTCTGGGCTGTGGGGGTAGCAGGTTGGACACAATGACTTGGAAGGCAAGAGACTTGGTCTAGACTGTGCTGCTGTCTAATTATCCTCTTCCCCATAGTCTAAGAAGGCTACCAGCTGTTTCCCACGCCCCATGACTCCCCGTGACCGACATGAAGGGCGCAAACAGAGCACTACCAAGACCCAGGAGAAAGCAGTTCCAGCTGTTAAACAGGCTAGTCAGAGGGGAGGAGGAGGTGTATGTAGCCCTTAAAGGCAGTTTTCCCAGTTTGACAACCCCATCATCTCCCACAGGCTGACCGGCGCCAGTCAATGGCCTTTGCCATCCTCAACACACCCAAGAAGCTTGGGAATAGCTTTCTGAGGCGGGGAGCCTCAAAGAAAGCTCCGTCCAAGGCTTCCCCCAACACCCGCAGTGGAACCCGCCGCTCTCCTCGCATCGCCACCACCACCACCAGCGCTGCCGCCGTCCCTCGGACCAAGGGCAAGGTGGGTGCCTGTGACTCCTGAAAGCCCAGTGAGAGAGAGTATGAGCCCTCCCCACATTTCTCAGTGGGGCAGCATCTATAGCAGAATTAAGCTAGCTGTGGGGTGGGGAGTAAAAGATGTTTCATGTCCTACCGCTATTCCAAGGGAGAAAGATGGGGCTTTCTGCGCGCCCATAAAGACTTAGAAGCCGCTAGGAGTCAATCACCATATTCTAGTTCAGTGCTCACTGCTGATGGGAGAAGTGACTCCATTACTCCTGAGCACACCTGTTTTAACAACTGGTAAATTGAGGCAGTTGGTGTAGGGCTGGCATCACACGTCTTATCCAACCATGTGATTATCTCTTTTTCAGGTAAAGCACTAAAGGGCCAGTACCAGAGTGGGCCCCACCTGTGCCCGATGCTGACCTTGCCTGGCTGGTCCTCCTCTTCTTACTGTCCCTCTCAGTGCCTTCTCTCAGCTCCCAGGCCCATTAGTGGCCAAACCCCAAGAGACAGTGATGCTTCCCACACCTTGTTGCCCCCGTGCCTCAGGGGTGGGGTGACAGCTCACCTCCAACTTCCCCCAGATGTGCACTGGGGTGGGATTTGGAGTGATGGGAAGGTTTTTAAGGACCAGGGATGGATCTTTTCTAAAAGTTATTACTTGTAAATAAAGTCTATTTTTCGCCCTTAAATGCTGAGCTACCATGTACTATGTGGAAACCAAGGGTGATCTGGTGGTCCCTGCTGCTGATTATACAACTTCTTAGATCACAGTTCGCCTCAGAACTAGTCAGCCCTGGTGGCACAGAAATTAGATGCTAGGCCAGGAGTTCAAAGCCACCTGCAAGAATGCTTTTATAAAGATTATCTTGGAACTCTATGGGGCAGTTCTACAGAGTTAGAATGAACTTGAAAAAATAGTTTTGTCATGAGCGATTATAAGTACCTACTGTGGGCCCTGCTGGTTCTATAGAGATGCACTTGTGGATCAGAAGCGGCCTTCACCTCTTCCTGGGGCAGTCCATTTGAGGAAGGGAAATGCAACTATTAAGTCAATACAGAATGTGGCCAGAGCTGAGATACAATAGTCTTCACAGTCAGAAGGGACCAAATGAGGAGGAAAGGCACAGAATTGAGAGTTGTCTGGGAGCATGTTGGAAATGCAGGTAGGGTCTTAGTTTTCTGAGGAACACAGCAGTGTCCAGCATCAGGACAATTAGCAAGGGAGGGGACTTTGAACTTGGTGAGATCAGTGAGGATAGACTGACAAGAACCTTAAAAGGCAGGAACTCTTGAGCCAAGTCCACAGCATGGCAAGGTTGGGGAGGGAGCGCTGCTCAGGGCTGACTGTCCAGGGAGGCAGGATCTGGGCTCTGGTCAAGATTGCAGTCCTGCTCCGGGGACTGTGTGCTGAAGTGGGCACCTAAGGCCTGGGCAGGGCTTCTTCAGTGGGAGGCAAGGCTTTTTTCAGCCCAGTCTGGAGAAGAAGGTAGACAAGAGTCAGGGCCAAGGGGCGGAGGGCCATCTCTTGGCACTTTTCCTCCACGCCCTCCAAATTCCCGTTTGTTTCCCCTTCAGGCTTGGGAAAATGGTGGTTGTGAGCTTTAGGGCTGTTCAGACCAGAACCTCCTTCCCCTGGAAAACTTCCCTTAGGTTCCTCACCCAGAGCTGGGCCAGGACAACGTGACGCTGGGCTATCTGTGCAGGATCCACGAGAACACACGAGAAATTGGTGCTGCGCAGGGCAGGGTTCAGCTCTTCCAGCACCAAAGTCCTACGCAGCCAGGTGCTTGTGTTCTTACGTTCCCAGCTGGAGCAGGGGTGGGGAGAAAGGGCCATGAGAGGCTGCAGGAGGCATCCTTCCCTCTGACCTCACTGCTGTATCCCTCACCTGATGCTACCCTCCCGCAGCCGGCCAGGGAGGTGCTCGATGAAGGAGCCATTGCCCAACCAGTAGAGAATGCTGAAGTGGAAGAAGTGGCTGCAGCCAGTACAGGACAAGGTCAGGGATCCATCTAGGGAAATGTGTAGCTGTTAGCCTTTCCAGAGAGCAGTGCCCCCTGCTGTGCTCTGCTAACACTCTCAAGAGGCAAGAGCTTAAAGGTTAGGTGGGAAAGTCTGAAAGAAAAGTGCAGTTGCTAAAAGGCCTGAGCAAGAAGAATCTGGAGAAGTGCCCTTGATTTGTGTTGTCTGTCTCTTCTGAGCCTGTTTCTTCAGGATAATCTTTTCTAGCACCCAGCCTCCCAGCCTCTCTGACTCTTGGAACCCAGGCCAAAATGGCAATGTTAACGCTTCTCTGAAGTGGCTGGCAGGTTAGCAGGCTCTAGGGGAGGGATTGGCTTTTGGTGTCTACTGCAAGCAAGGCTCAGGGTCCCATGACCATTCCTTAGGTCTTGAGTTCTCTCCATCCCATTCAATAAGGAGCACCTTGAAAGTTGGGTTTTTGAAGTGGGGGATGGAGAAGGATGAGTGCTCAGCCAACTTGCCCTAGACATTGGCTCAGCCCTACCCTTGAATCCGCTGTGCCCAAAGCCCTCCCTGGCCACGGTACCCTCCAGGGATTCTTACTCAGTGATACTTCCACCTCTGGCCACGTCACCTCCAATGCTGGGCACCGCTTAGCTGTTGGGAGTGTTGGGGGCCAAGAGGAGTAGAGATCCTGTGTGGTTCCAGCTGAGGCAGTGGTAACTGTGGTGCTGGGATGTACAGGTGTGGCTCTGTCCGGGAGAGTAATGACATGGACACACAAGAGCAGGACCCATAAGGGACTGGAATCTAAGGAAAGGGTGGTCACAGAGGTCAGCAGTTGTCCAAACTACGTGGTTGTGTTCAGCCATAAAGGGTGGTTCTAAGCTGGAGAGATTTCCTGCCTGGGTGAAGATGGAGCTCCAGCTCGGAGACTCAGATCGACTCAGTATCAGAGAGACAGAAGCACCTCTCTGCTCCCACCCTTTAGCCCTTTTTTGAATGGAGCCAGAGCCACAGCACCTGGGCAGAGGCTTAAAGCAGCAGTACAGCAGGGAGTTCACCCGGAAACCAAAGCTCAGCTCACCACAGGGCTCCATTCTATT